TAGTTGTGTAACAGTTTTATTGTTCCAGTACATCTTTCTCCAGCTGTGTTTCAGTTTTATTGTTTCAGTAGATATTTCTCTAGTTATGTTGCTGTTTTATTGTTTCAATACCTGTTCACTGGTTATGTTTATGTATACTATGTTAAGATGTATTACCCACATTATCTACTGCCTAGATTAAGAATTAGGCTAGCTGTGTGTCTGTACTCAGAACCATACCATGTGTGTGATACTCAAACTTTGCTCATGTGCTTTTCTTGATTTGGAGTTTTTTATGTTGATGTTTTACCCTTTTGTCTACACAAAGGAAAGGCCTTTCGAGATTTAATGTGTAGTGTATGTGCCATATTTGGTATCATATAGAACCATTGTAAATGAAACAAGTATTTATTCTAAAATCTCTGTATGATATTGCTTTAAAGAGAAATAATGAATAACTGATAATCTTTAGATATGCTTTGGAAGGCACCTGAAATCCTAAGAGACACTTCTCAGTATCCTAGGGGAACACAGAAAGGTGATGTCTACTCCTTTTCCATTATCTTACATGAAATAATCAGCCGCCAGGGGCCGTTTTCGGGCAGCACAGATATACACCCAAAAGGTATGAACACTGATTATAACACATTAGATTTAAAACTTGTGCTTCCTTTTCATTGTTCACTGTTTATGATGCTTACTCTTAGCTCAGAGTTGGTGTAGTTACTGAAATATCCCTTTGTTTCAGTGTGTTAATAGTTCACCTATTGGTTAAATGTTTGGTAGTGTGAGACATGTTGTTGATTCTATATGCGGGTAGTTTACCTATTTGTTAAATGTTTGGTAGTGTGAGACATGTTGTTGATTCTATATGCGGGTAGTTTACCTATTTGTTAAATGTTTGGTAGTGTGAGACATGTTGTTGATTCTATATGCGGGTAGTTTACCTATTTGTTAAATATTTGGTAGTGTGAGACATATTGTTGATTCTATATGCGGGTAGTTCACCTATTTGTTAAATATTTGGTAGTGTGAGACATGTTGTTGATTCTATATGCGGGTAGTTCACCTATTGGTTAAATGTTTGGTAGTGTGAGACATATTGTTGGTTCAGTATGTTTGTTGTTTTCCTATTAGTTAGATTTTTAAAAGTGTCAGACATTCTAATAAACAATGGCTATCACTTGCATTTTATTCAAGCCCTAACATGCAAGTTCCTTTCTAAAAAAATTGAACCCCCAAAGAGATCATATACTCTAGACAAATACCCATTAAGACTGATTGTTTATTTTTTAGGTAAACAATGTTTCATACTGAAATCACAAATTTTAACAATAATTAAAACTTTTTATACACAAGTTAAACTACAAATGATATTTAAATCACTTTTTAAATTACAAAATCTATTCAGATCTAAAGACGTATTACCTACCCTTCTGTGTTTCAGGATTGTGTATAAATGCACATATGGTGGCACTACTTGCTTATATATCTATTGACCTGCTAATTATCTCTTTATTATACTGTCTTATAAGAGATTGTGAAGAATATTAAAGAATACAAAGAAGGGGAGGTCCTCTTCAGACCAGACATTTCAATCCTAGAATGTCAAGACTACATTGTTCAAACTATCTGTGAATGTTGGCATGAGAAACCAGAAAACAGACCTGACTTCGCCCACATTCGAGCCAAACTACAGAGAATGAGGGAGGGCATGTAAGTAGCCATTTTGTGGAATACAAAACTCACCACAAGAGTAACATCTTCCTACATAAAAGTTTGGTTGGGCTGTAAATGTACCCTCTGCCATGCTAAATGTAAGGATGTTTGTTGGAAAACTAGATTTAAGGGGCACATTTACATCAATTGATTTTGTAAACTTAAGAATAATCTATAATACAATATCTCACTGACATTTCCTGTCACAACTTGTAATTTACCTGAAAATATCTATCTGTTAAACTCTTTATCACATTTAGACATAAATTTAAAATGATCTAGAAAGTCCAACTTGATAAATAACATACTGGTGTAAACTGTTTATGTATCAACAAGAGTTTAAAGTCTTTAAGAGCGTCTAAGAGCTAAATGATATGCAGATGTTCACACCTTAATAAATAATAACTAATAAACATGTAGGGTTAATGAATAAAACTTTCTTAAATCTTGAACTTTATGGATTAAATTACTGTTTATATTGAAGTATTCTTCTGTTTAGGAAGTCTAACATCATGGATAACATGATGGACATGATGGAGAAATATGCTAATAATTTGGAGGAGCTGGTGGAGGAACGGACAGCTCAATTAGTTGAGGAGAAAAAGAAAACTGAAGCCCTCCTACATCGAATGTTGCCTAAGTAAGTACCTTGCAAGTTACTCCACAGTTTACAATCGTTCTGTAGGTGCACAATTTTTGCTTTTAATATTGAACTCTTGTTTGTTTTTGGATATCTGAGCATTAATGGGCCTTCATTTGTAATTTGATATTGTCCTTTTTGCCTTTCCATCATGAATACCTTTATATATTTTTTTAAATAAAAATACCTGGTTTTAACTTAATTAGGACTAAAACTGAAATTGTTAAGTGCATATGTGATTGTAGAAATGATTGGGGTTTGGGACATTTTTAAGGAAGATACCTGTTGTTTACATTACATGTTCTGTTATGACAAAGTTGGATTATATTCTGTTTGGTTTTAAATTCAGCAAGTAGCATTAATCTCTGAACTCATTATTTGTTACATGATCAACAGGTGTTTGATTATAAAACCATAAATTTTAACAGATCTGTTGCTGAACAACTAATGCGTGGTGAGCCAGTCATACCTGAAAGCTTTGATGCTGTAACAATCTACTTCAGTGACATTGTAGGCTTCACATCAATGTCAGCCGAGAGCTCACCGATGGAAGTAAGTTGGAAACCTGTGGTAGAACTATACTAAGGTAAAGTTAATGTAACTGTGGATGGAAAGTTCACCAATGGAGGTAAGGTGAAGACCTGTTAGAACTACACACAGCTAGAGTTAATGTAACTATCGGAAGAAAGTTCACCAATGGAGGTAAGGTGGAGACCTGTTAGAACTACACACAGCTAGAGTTAATGTAACTATGGGCAGAAAGTTCACCGATGGAGGTAAGGTGGAGACCTGTTAGAACTACACACAGCTAGAGTTAATGTAACTATGGGCAGAAAGTTCACCAATGGAGGTAAGGTGAAGACCTGTGGTAGAACTGTACACAGCTAAAGTTAATATAACTATGGGCAGAAAGTTCACCAATGGAGATAAGGTGGAGACCTGTTAGAACTACACACAGCTAGAGTTAATGTAACTATCGGAAGAAAGTTCACCGATGGAGGTAAGGTGGAGACCTGTGGTAGAACTGTACACAGCTAAAATTAATGTATCTGTGGGCCGAGATCACGCTCATGGAGGTAAGCTGTAGAATCTTGGTAGTGGTAATGTAATTAAAATCCTGAACAGAATGGAACATTACGTACTTTTGCCTAAACTATTTCTCTCTCTAAACAATGAAAGAATTTCTCTAGCAATAATTAAGGACTGAATGTGGAACTATTGTAGATCAAGTAAGGACTGTGTATTTAACTATGGTAGATGGAATAAGGACTGTATCTGTGTTAGACGGAATAAGGATCTTCTAGTCATAGCTGCTGAAGCTAAGTATGTTGCTTAGCAATAAGTCCATTCTACTGACGAAGCTAGCTGCTTAGTAACCACTTAATCTGTTTTTCAGGTGGTGACATTCTTGAACGACCTGTACACCGTGTTCGATGCAATTATTAGTCACTACAATGTGTACAAAGTGGAGACGATCGGAGATGCATATATGGTTGTCAGTGGACTGCCCATTCGGAATGGTGACCAGCATGCTGGAGAGATAGCCTCAATGGCTCTGGAGTTGTTGGATGCTATTCGGAGTTTCAAAATACGACATCGACCCAACCAGACACTCAAATTACGAATAGGAATTCATACTGGTAAACCATTAGTGTACATATTTTATTTTGAGTTTAGGTTCTATCTCATGCAGTCTCCACATGCCATGTCATCATTTAAGTACCAGTTTCATAACTATTTGAAGGACCATGGGTTCATAATGTTCCTCACTTCCCCTGTGTTTCTAGGGTGATATTGAATTTTGTAACATTTTCCACTTCCTCCCTGTCTATCTAGGGTTATATTAAATTTCATAATATTATCTCCTTCCCCTGTGTAACTAGGGTGATAATAATTTCGTAATATTATCCAATTCCCCTGTGTCTCTAGAGTGATAATAATTTTGTAACATTTTCCACTTTCCCTGTGTGTATCTAGGGTGATATTAAATTTCTCAATATTATCTCCTTCCCCTGTGTAACTAGGGTGATGTTAAATTTTGTAATATTATCCAATTCCCCTGTGTAACTAGGGTTATAATAGTTTTGTAATGTTATCCAATTCCCCTGTGTCTCTAGGGTGATAATAATTTCGTAATGTTATCCAATTCCCCTGTGTCTCTAGGGTGATATTAAATTTCATAATATTATCTCCTTCCCCTGTGTAACTAGGGTGATGATAATTTCGTAATATTATCCAATTCCCCTATGTAACTAGGGTGATAATAATTTTGTAATGTTATCCAATTCCCCTGTGTCTCTAGAGTGATAATAATTTTGTAACATATTATCCAATTCCCTGTGTATCTAGGGTGATATTAAATTGTATAATATTATCCACTTCCCCTGTGTCTCTAGGGTGATATTAAATTGTATAATATTATCCACTTCCCCTGTGTATCTAGGGTGATATTAAATTGTATAATATTATCCACTTCCCCTGTGTCTTATATTCTATAAGTTTGTTATTGTTCGTGGTGTGAGGTTATTATCGACAAAATAGTAAGTGTGTGTGTTTTAGATTTGTAATTTTTAATACAATAAAATGTTTTCTCTTTTTTTTCTAAGACCAGATTTGTGTGATGGTATGGGAATAACATCGACAAGACACTTTATTCTTGATAAATTGAGTATTTCATAAAGTAAAGAAAAGTGTATAATAATATATGCTATTTCCACTGGCAAGAAGGCTTTGTTTGATATTTTTATTTTTAGGACCATTTATTGCAGGTGTAGTAGGTCTAACAGTGCCCAGATACTGTTTGTTTGGATATATAATTAATACAGCTTAACAGCAAGATATATCCAGTGGGGACAAGGCTTTGCTTGATATTATTATTTTGATTTTTTAGGGCCAGTTGTTGCCAGTGTAGTAGGTCTAACAATGCCCAGATAGCGTTTGTTTGGATATATATATAATTAATACAGCTTAAGAGCAAGATATATCCAGTGGGGACAAGGCTTTGCTTGATATTATTATTTTGATTTTTTAGGGCCAGTTGTTGCAGGTGTAGTAGGTCTAACAATGCCCAGATACTGTTTGTTTGGATATATGATTAATACAGCTTAACAGCAAGATATATCCAGTGGGAACAAGGCTTTGCTTGATATTATTATTTTGATTTTTTAGGGCCAGTTGTTGCAGGTGTAGTAGGCCTAACAATGCCCAGATACTGTTTGTTTGGAGATACGGTTAACACAGCTTCACGAATGGAGTCTAATGGTGAAGGTATTAGAAGACTGTAATTATTGTGTTTTTTAAATGTACATATACATGTGTATACAATATGTTGTGTTTTTTGTCAATTCAAAAAGTAATTATTATTAATATTAGCAACATATACTCTAAGGTTTTGAATAAACTATGATTACATTACTGTCATTAACACAACAATCTAACTTGTGTAGTGATATCATATTACTGTCATTAACACAACAGTCTAACTTGTGTAGTGTTATCATATTACTGTCATTAACTCAACAATCTAACTTGTGTAGTGTTATCATATTACTGTCATTAACTCAACAATCTAACTTGGGTAGTGTTATCATATTACTGTCATTAACTCAACAATCTAACTTGAGTAGTGTTATCATATTACTGTCATTAACTAACAGTCTAACTTGAGTAGTGTTATCATATTACTGTTATTAACTTTACAGCCAAATTGGGTAGTGTTATTAATATTAACCAAATTGTAAATGAAAATATGCTATTGATTGATTTACTGAACAGTTTCGAGGGTTTTTTTGTTATATTCAACTAATATTTCAAATATACACCACTTTCAGAATACACATATTTAAGTGATAAGTTACTCCATTTACAAAGAACATATGTAGAAATAGTTTTGTTTTTAAAACTTTATGTGGTACTACATAAGTTTTGAATTATCATGTGTCATTCCTTCCTCCAGCTTTGAAGATTCATGTGAGTCCTCACTGCAAGGTCTTCCTTGATCGACTTGGAGGGTACACAACTGAGGAGAGGGGCTATGTTGCCATGAAGGTGAGCATTTATTAAAGTGTGTAGAAGTGAAGTTGAACTTGGAGATGCTACAGGGAAGTGGTAAAAAATATATGTGTACAAGTGTGCTAGGTGGTGTCGTAGATGAAGGTACATAAAACTGGGTGCCAGGGAAGACATCTTAAAAAAGATATGTTTTGAAGTGGTACAAGAAATTCTAACACATTTTAAAGTATGTGACAGAGTGGTATAATAGAGATTCTAATGCATTTTTACTCTTCAGTAGTAGCATACAATGTTCTTTTAAGATTTCTGTCTTGTGAATTTAGATGGCCTAATGAACTTATGCCCTTTCAAGATTTGTGTCTTGTGTAGATTATTTAATGACGAAGGGTCAAACAGTACAGTTATAAAATTTTATAGTTCAACCTTTCACTATTACATTAAATTAAAAAAATATATTTTTTCTAAAGAGGGTAACTTTTTGTTTGTATTTATAGTAAATGATTTTGTTTAAGCATCTGTTTAAATTTATAGTAAAAGTTTGTATTTAAGTTTCTGTTTGTAGTTATAATAAAAGTTTTTATCTAAGTTTCTGTTTATATTTATAGTAAAAAAAAACATCTGAGATATATAAGTACCTGTTAAATTGCTACAGTTTATATACTTAAAACAAAGAGCTGATGACAAACAGTGGCATAGTCCTAGGTGTACATTATTGGTTTGGTTTAGAATTTCTCTCAAATTTATACGAAGGTTTTCTGTGCCAGCTGTTCCTAATTTAGCAGTGACAGACTAGAGGGAAGGTAGCTAATCAATACCACCCACTGCCAAATGTTGGGCTTCTCTTTTACCAACGAATAGTAGGATTGATCATCACATAACAAAGCCTTTATGGCTGAAAGGACGAACATGTTAAGTGTGACAAGGATTCGAATTCACAACCCTCAGTTTGCTAGGTGTGCACCCTAACCACCAAGCAATGCCAGACCTGAAGTTGTAGACTTTTCAAAAATTAAAGATCTATACTGATGCCTCAGCAAACAAGATTTTAAGTATATGTTTTTTAAGGAAATGCTTATACCTCGATTCACTATTTTCATAAAGTTAACTAGTTATTTTCTTTTTATCTAATCAGTATTTCATAATAGGAATAAAATTAGGCCTAGATGTCTTGAATCGACCACACCATTAATAATTGGTAGTTTATTGTGTCATCTTTTGGTACTTAAACTAGACATTTATCTTTACATCATATATCATAATTCAAGATACAGAAAAGTAACAATGAGTATATTTTACCATTTAGTAGACAACTTAAGCCACTATTTGATATTGTAAGCTTATTCTTCAAAGTTAACAGTAAATAGCCAAGTACTTATTATTATATTTCGTCCATATTTAGGGTAAAGGAGAAATTAAGACATATTGGTTATTAGAACACTCTAGTGGCTCTAAACGTCGAAGGGAGGCGAAGGACATGATCTTGCCACAATCACTCTTTTCCTTTGTTCGTGACACGGAATTTCGACGCCGAAGCCCCAAACTACCACCAGTAGATACATCCAGAAGACATTCTCTCAGGGTTGACCCAAGACATCTTAGGACACCAGATGATGTTTCAAACTCCAACATCTCTGCCCAAGGTCTTCCTTCATATTTTTATGTGGTTCAGGATAGCCCTCATTCACCAAGACGATCCAGCCCACAGATACTGAGAAATAAATTTAGAAAACTGAAGAGCCAAGATCGAGAGGATGTGAGTATCGATAGTTCGATAGATGCCAAGATTTCTCCAGAAGCAGCAAACAGTACAACATCTGAAAGAGAGAAGCACACACCAGCTAACCAAAATGGTATAGTATCAGTAGATGAAAGTGATAAATCATTACTAGATCCTGGTGGAGTTAGATTTGCAATTCGCCACTCAGTGAATGATGATAGAAAACCTCATTTCCAAACACCATTAATGAGGACTACTTCAAAGCCGTGGCGCTCGTATGATGAGATACTCCAACCAAATAGGCCGAGGTCATCATTGAAAGATTTTTTCACAGGTCTTCTGAGTGGCAGACTAGTTGATAGTGATTCCAAAAAAATTAGTAATTCCCTTATAGCCCAGTGTAAATCCATACCTGAACAAGAACTCGAGGAAAGTGTAGTGTGACAACAAAGTCTTACAACAATGAAAATCACTAACATAAAACCTGTCACGTAATATTTGGCTAAACACTAGAGCTTATTTAATGTTTGATATTGCTGATTCTCTAAGAAGTATCAATACTCAAAAATGAAAGGGGAGGCACTAGCAGTATAGTGTTCCTAAGTGTTTTACTTGTGGATACAAAATACAAACTTTAAGTAAAGAAAACTTATATAAAGAATTTCTAGATGTCTTTTTAAAACACAGGAAAATAGGTAACGTTGTGGAATTTTTACCTCATAGTAATGACATGTTTGGTACCAAACTTAAACAGAAACTACTAGTTTTGAATTGTACAGTTTTGATGTTTAATGCTTTACAATAATATGTGACTTACAGGAGCTTCTAAGATGGCCACATATTCTCACGAGGAAGACCTGAATCAGTTTTATTTGTATCAAATGACCATGGCAGGTTTTCAAGTTGGTTTATATTTTTACATGGTTGATTATTCATTTCTTCATTAAAAAACTGGTATTACAAATAACATTCACGAGGGTTAAGATCTAGTTTAAACTTTCATCAAAATATATCATTTTCCTTCTTGCCAACTTTATTTGCATTGTGAATACATGAATAATACTAAAGATTGTATTTGAATATGGGTTATTTGGTTAAGAGATATGCCCTTTAAAGCGAGATCTTCAGAAACCACGTGTGTACTTGTAAAATGTAGTTTAGCAGTGTGTTGTTTTAAAATAACAACCTGGAAACTGAATACTAAAAACTTTGATATTCCACTTGCATGAAACATGAAAGTCACCTTTTATATAGAGTAACAAGAATTTTGTTGTCTCCAAAATAGTTTTCATTTATAGCAAAGATGTGTGTGTGTTGACCTGCATTAGGCTATACTAGATAAAGAGAGCAATTCTTCTCAGTTTAGTTTATTGACTTCAATGATCTGACGTCCACACAGGTACAGCTGTATCGGATATCATTGATGCTCTTGGTGGTGATAACCTCAATTTTCTTTCTGTCTAATAAAAACTGGTTCTTACCAAGCTCTTTTGTACATAAGACATTTGAAAGTCCTGGCTGGTTCAATGAGACAGTAAAGCATTCCAGCCTTGGTTTGTACATTTAAATAGTAAAGACCTCAAGCCATTATTGGATAGCCTTGGCTTGTACAATGAGACAGTAAAGACCTCAAGCCATTATTGGATAGCCTTGGCTTGTACAATGAGACAGTAAAGACCTCAAGCTATTATTGGATAGCCTTGGCTTGTACAATGAGACAGTAAAGACCTTCAGCCATTGTTAGATAGCCTTGGCTTTTACATTGAGACATTAAAGACCTCAAGCCATTATTGGATAGCCTTGGCTTTTACATTGAGACAGTAAAGACCTCAAGCTATTATTGGATAGCCTTGGCTTTTACATTGAGACAGTAAAGACCTCAAGCTATTATTGGATAGCCTTGTCTTTTACATTGAGAAAGTAAAGACCTCAAGCTATTATTGGATAGCCTTGTCTTTTACATTGAGAAAGTAAAGACCTCAAGCCATTATTGGATAGCCTTGGCTTTTACATTAAGACAGTAAAGACCTCAAGCCATTATTTGATATCCTTGGCTTTTACATTGAGACAGTAAAGACCTCAAGCGATTATTTGATAGCCTTGGCTTTTACATTGAGACAGTAAAGACTTCAAGCCATTATTGGATAGCCTTTACTTGTACATTGAGACAGTAAAAACCTCCAGCCATTGTTTGATAGCCTTTTGTACTTTCAGACAGTAAAGAAATTCATCAAATACATATGATTCATATCTATAGAAATCTGTCAAATGGATGTGACTCACCTCTATAGAAGGTCATTAAATAAGTTTGGACCATCTCCATCAAATAGGTATGGTCTGTATCCATAGAACTCCAGCAAATAGGTATGGTCTGTATCCATAGAACTCCATCAAATAGGTATGGTCTGTATCCATAGAAGGAGTTCTATGGATACAGACCATACCTATTTGTTAGATTTCTATGGATACAGACCATACCTATTTGATGGAGTTCTATGGATACAGACCATACCTATTTGATGGAGATCAAATAGGTATGGTCTGTATCCATAGAAATCTAACAAATAGGTATGGTCTGTATCCATAGAACTCTAAAAAATAGGTATGGTCTGTATCCATAGAACTCCATCAAATAGGTATGGTCTGTATCCATAGAACTCCATCAAATAGGTATGGTCTGTATC